GGAAGTTTTGTCAATGTAGGATGCCTGAGCTCAAATGGAAGTTTTGTCCCTGTAGAATGCCTGAGCTCAAATGGAAGTTTTTCCCCTGTAGGAGGCCTAGGCTCATATGGAAGTTTTGTCCCTGTAGCATGCCTATGCTCATATGGAAGTTTTGTCCCTGTAGGATGCCTATGCTCATATGGACGTTTTGTCCCTGTAGGATGCCTAGGCTCTTATGGAAGTTTTGTCCCTGTAGGATGCCTAGGCTCATATGGAAGTTTTGTCCCTGTAGGATGCCTAGGCTCATATAGAAGTTTTTCTCCTGTAGAATGCCAGGGATCTTATGATAGTTGCTCCCCCTGAAGGATGCCTAGGCTCATATGGAAGTTTTTCTCCTGTAGGATGCGTAGGCTCATAATTATGGAAGTTTTTCCCCTGTAGGATGCCTGAGCTCAAATGGAATTTTTGTCCCTGTAGGATACCTGAGCTCAAATGGAAGTTTTTTCCCTGTAGGATGCCTTGGCTCAAATGGAAGTTTTTCCCCTGTAGAATGCCAGGGCTCATATGGAGGGTTTTTCCCCCTGTTGGATGTCGGGGCTCGTATGGAAGGGATAGACCATTCTAAGCTCCTATGTGTTTTGAGAACTTTAAGCACTATTTCAATTTTTGATCTCTTCAATATTTATAAATAAACAAGAAATGTCGAACGACACATATGCTCCCCTTTTTAGCCCATGCCTCACATTATTGGTTATTTTGTTATAAAAAACTTGCCATAAATAGGTACATGGAAGTATTCAGTTATGGAAAAAATAAAAATAACGAAGACTTTGTGATAGTTTTCAAGATAATGAGCGGAAACCATTCTGACATTTAAGGCCCCTGTGACCTTGAGCTTTGAACTAGTGACCAAAAATCAATAGGAGTCATCTACTTATTATAACCACTCAATATGTGAAATATGAAGACTTTTTAGTAAATAGTAACCAAGATAATCAGCAGAAATCATACTACCATTCTAGGCCCTGTGACCTTTGATCTAGTGACCACAAAATCAATAGGGTTCATGTACTTGTTATGACCAATCGATATGTGAAATATGAAGACTTTGTGATAAATAGAAATCAAGAAAATAAGCGGAAACAATTCTGACATTTAAGGCCCCTGTGAACTTTACCTTTGAGCTCGTGACCTCAAAAGCAATAGGGGTCATGTACTAGTTATGACCAATCAATCTGTATGTGAAATAAAAAGACTTTGTGATAAATAGTTAAAGATAATCAGCGGAAACCATGTGGTCTACCGATGGACAGACGACTGACAAACAGACCGACAAACCGACATTTTGCAAAACAATATACCCCTCTTCTTCGAAGGGGGGCATAAAAGTGCAACATATATATTTGTATGTCTATATAATTTTACTTAGTACATTGACGTAATTCTACTTTCTAACACTATCGGAAATGTTTCTATATAAACAAAGAAGGTCCCAAGCGTGCATTATTCTACAACAATGCACTCGCCGTTCTTATTATCTCACTGTGTATCTTCACATTGAGGGCGCCATTTTGTTTGAAAAATCTTATAAATAAAAACATTTTTTTCCCGAATTTTGATGTGAAAACTATCTAGAATGAGAGGAAATGATCTAACTAAGAAAATGAATCCGAACACCAATATCTTTAATTCAGTCGTTAACGCTGTACAGACGTTTAAAGTGTTGTAAACTTACGTGACGTCACAATGTAGCCCCCAATAGCACGTGCATAGCAATCAAATCTACGCTATTTTAATGTCGCAAACGACTTAAGTTTAACATTTATTTCACTTTTATAATTTATATTTCGCTTGAAAAAATATAGAGTCGAATAAAATTAACAAACAAAATTGTATCAACGTTTTCAAATATTCGTTATTCTCAAAATGTTACTACACACGGTAGATTTAACGGCAGTTTTTTTCAACCCACTGGAACAGCCTTTAAAGAACGTTTCTATTGGGAACTCTGAGGCGAAAACAAAGTTTACCACCAAAACTCCAACTTTAAAATTATAATTATATTTTTTCTCGACGTGTTAGAATGGAAATAGATATTAATTCTTCGTGCATTATTGTATAATAATGCACGTTTTTCGTTCAAATGCTTTGTAATTATTCACTCAGGCCTATCGGCCTTCGTGATTATATTACTACGCATTTGAACTCAAACCGTGCATTACTCTACAACAATGCACTCAGAATTGATATCTACTTCCTAATTTTATATTGAATTTCTCCCTGTCAAGTTTTACTTTAAACATGTATAACATAATTAAGTTTAAGCATTCAGCGTGAAAGCTGATTTAATCAATATTTTAACCTCTTGTTGAAGTCGAATATTTAAAATTTAAATCTTAATATAGGAAAATTATCAGGGTCACTTTTTAACGTTAAAAATGATTGATGGTAGTCTTTCATTACCCATAATTATCGAAAAGCGCATTACAATACAAGGAAAAGTGCGTGATCTATTCGTATTTTAACGATTTTTTCAATTGACTTTATATGATAGATACCCTCCCAATTCATCTGCGGCATTCGAAGTGTAATATTTCCAGGTAAGCATGCCCCTGATCTCTATATCTATTGTGCGCACCCCCAAAATGAGTCTAGACACGTCCCTGTAAATGCAAATGATTTATTAAACTGTGGCCTTAAAACTCGACTACATGGTTGATTAGATTACCAAAATATAAACCAATCGTTAAAAAGCTTCCTGTTATACAGTATGTAGCGTATACATATGTAATGATATTTTAGCCACAAATATTTAAAGCTTCTTTCTCAGCAGTTGTAGCGAAATCGGTTGATCGACACTTAATCAATGTAACCTTCAAAAGACAAAATTACTGACTTTGAAAATCTAAATTTGCTGTATACTAGTAACCGCACAAAAATAGCTTTATAACCGACATAAGCCAAATAACATAGTTACAGTAAACTGTATAACAAGAACAGAAGATCAGGCAACCGTTAATTAACTCGAATAGTTTTAGGTGCAACTAAACTTTTATCTCTCAAACACAAAGGTATTTTGTTATACAAAATGAGAAATTATTATACCGTCAGATTTGGCCATTTTTTAAGTAGCACGAAACGATATTTATATATATAGGAGAAACAGTTTAATATGCAGTAACAGGAAACATAAACCACAAACTGCGGCCACGTTCCCGAGACCGTGTAAGTCCCACCATCAGTTCAATTGGAGTAACGTCCAGGTACTGTTTACGAAATATGCAAACAATACGCACAAGAACTTCTCTTTACCATGATGAATTTTTGCCATCTACTTTGAAAGATGGAACTCAAACTCGAGGAAAGTTCAAAACTCAAAATAGTTGTCTTATTTTAAAACGCAACTTAAAGGTAACAAAAAAGTCCCCAAATTTTATTTTTAGGTGAAAGAAAATGGCAAGACATTCACTTACGGCTCAAAACAGAATGTAGGTTTCTTAAAAAAAACAATGTCCTTTCACGAAGTTGTTATTGTGGCCTCCTGGCGAGTTGTAATCAAATACGTTTTATTTTATTGTCCCTTCTATGATTATCGGAGACTTACACTCTTTGGTGCTATTTCTGACCTCGGTATTATAACACTCAATACCTCACTAAACATAGCCATGATATTAATCTAAAATAAATTCAAATCATTTCAGAGTTTCCGATGTCCATGAGCAGCAGCCAAGTTAGTTGTACAACACTAATTGGAGACATGTACATTTTTCAAAGCAATATATATGCCTGCAACACTTGCATTTAGATCGTAATTGTGCATAATTGTGCATTGAAGGAATAATCAGGTTTTCCATAAAAAAGTCCCCCAATCGATCCCTTACATATTTTACTAAAAAAGATATTTTTCTCCATGAGTAATGACTGAAACACGTCAATTAAAAAAAATGTCTCTAACTTCCACAGGGCGAGATTAATGTGAAGCATGAATGAGACTCGAACCTCAAAATACCGTACAGCAGCTGTACTGACTGAGCTATCCGGTAGCTTACAAACTATCTCCCCTCATTAGTGAACAAGTCAATACCGTGACATAATCCTTTTCTGAATAATTTGGGATTCGAACATACCACAACTTTGGGTTTCCTGAAGAGTTTTTCAACCCCATCTTACCACAGGCGTACGGCACATTTGCCATGCCAATAATGGTCAAATTACCATAAAATAATCACCCCTTGATCATCAAGAACAAAATTACTATTCAGCACCCGTTTACTATATAAAATATAAATGTGCCGTACACTTGTGTATCTTAATACTATGTTTACATTTTAGCCCAAATTGTTCTGGACTTTCATTATTACAGGATAATTGGGAAATTATCTGTCATCGTGGGAGGTCTTTACAACAAGTATTAAATACTTATAATTAAGAGACAGAACATGTCCTATCCTGTAAATCTAGTATTGTGTTGTATGAATTCAAGAAATAGTAACCTTTACACAGTTTATTGCTTGTATATCTTTGTTTTAATTGGGGCTTTACTGCAAAATCCTACCGTCTGTTGACGCCTTTAACATCTCTAAATCCTATTTTCTTTATGCGTAAAAGCTACCTATTAATACTAACAGAATTGATAGATTTTGCTGTCGGTAACCAACAAATGTCCCCTAGTTTAACCTGATTTATGTGTTATAATTGAAGCCTGATACTCGGATGCTTCAGGAAATATGTATTGTAAAATCTAATAACAAACCCAATTACATTTCTAAATTCATTAATCTTTATTTCATAGTAATTCATGATACACAGACTGGCCTCGTATTTGACGCTTCAAGCTTCACTGATCGATAATCATTTGATTTTTTTTTTACAATTACATTTTACCCAGTTTATAGTTTCATGTATACATAGTTGTGTACATGTAAATGTCTTCAGATTTGATCAGACTTTTGTTTTTATTTTAATTTTATTATCATTTTATTATTATTTTATTATTATCTTAGTTAACTATTCACTTGTTTAAACGTTACATTTTAGACGTGATCAATGGTAAAATTCATTAAACGAAGCGTAACTGTTAACACTTAAAACTTAGCTATTGTCGGGTATATAAAAGTCGAGCGTTATTCTACTATTTAATTTACCATTATTATGAAGAAAGTGTTGACTGAGTGGAGTTATATTTACATCACATATACAGGAATAATTGTTTGAATGTACACTATTTCCATTTAAATATTTTTAACGTGACTTCAGTGTAGTTTTTTTGGCTAAGCTTTCAAGACATACATTGTTATTTTATGTACATTTAAAGCACATGCGTTTACAGAATGGATAGAGAACGTATGCAATGGGGAGGAAAACTCGAGTATTTGTTCACGTCGTTTGGATACACTGTTGGGTTGGGAAATATTTGGCGGTTCCCCTACAAATGTTACATCCACGGCGGTGGGGCATTTTTCATTCCATATGTTTTGACAGTTGTGTTGTGCTCGTTCCCAATTTTGTTTCTCGAAATGTTCATGGGTCAGTTTTCATCTGAAGGACCGATTACTGTGTGGAAATTTTGTCCAATTTTCAAGGGTGTTGGATGGGCAATTATTTTCAATATTTTCATGACGAATATAAACTATATCGTCATCGTTATGTATTCATTTTACTACATGCTGGTGTCTCTTGTGAACATTGGCGGTACGTTACCATGGCAACAATGCCAAAAGCCTTGGGCAACTCAAAACTGTAGGAACGAGCCTTTTCCAAATTATGACGAAATAAGTTATGACAGTAAGAAAATAGGAATACTACAAAATTACCTGGATGTTTCTTGCATGCAGAAAATAAAAAACATGCAAAATATTACTGTCGATCCAGTTTTGTTTGGTGACTTCAGGGCACTGTATAAGTCGTGTGAAAAAATGTATAAATCACCAGAAGAAGAATACTGGAACAGGTACGAATTAAGGAGTGTTGCTTCATTGTTTATAGAGAATTACTTTTATCTTAATAATATAAATTGTGTTGCTATTTCATTTATTTTTAGTTCGAGTATACATTAAAGAAGACAAAATCTCTGTTTCACTTCTTTAAACTTTGATAATTCAAATAAAAAAATCCAGAAATGTTTCACAGCATGTTATCTTAAAGATTACTAAAACTTACTGGCTATTTTGTTAAAAGCTTAAAAACTCTTGTAGTAAATCACTTACGATCGCTTTAACAGGTCTGAAAATAGACACCGACCTGTTTTTCTTTTATTGTTATGTATTCATAAGAAAATCAAAGGGTTCCGACACACTTGGATGTGTTCATTGCTAGTGTAATTAACTTACACAAGCAATTTGGACTCTATATAAAATATTTGCCCTAATAATTTTGCTCAAATTGCTTGTGTAAGTTAATTGCACTATGTATGATTACACTATGTATGAACACACTCAAGTGTGGGGGACCCCTTTGAAGAAAAAATGTGAAATCGAGAAACGCGTGCATTTAAGATTTAGCGCCGTATACGTATATTCCGTAACGCAGGATTGTTGAAATAATTTAGGAATTGTTAAAAAAAAATACGTGAATTGTGCAAATCTATGGCGGGGAGGGGGGTGACCACTTCGAATAGGACCGATATATATTTATGAAGTACATGTTCATCAAATTAAAAGAAATAAATTAGCACATACGGTTGCTTGGACATTATATTCTACCTGACATAGATATATACTGGTGAAAAATAAGTATCGCCGACTTCTGTTGTAAAATAAGTATTGTCGACTACTGTTGTAAAATAGATACATGTATTGCCGACAACTAGTGTAAAATAAGTATTGTCGACTACTGGTGTAAAATAAGTATTTCCGACAATTGGTGTAAAATAAGTATCGCCGGCTACTGTTGTAAAATAAATACATGTATTGCCGACAACTAGTGTAAAATAAGTATTGTCGACTACTGGTGTAAAATAAGTATTGCCGACTACTGGTGTAAAATAAATATTGCCGACTACTGTTGTAATATGAGTATTGTCGACTACTGGTGTAAAATAAGTATTGTCGACTACTGGTGTAAAATAAGTATTGCCGACTACTGGTGTAAAATAAGTATTGTCGACTACTGGTGTAAAAAAAGTATCGCCGACTACTGTTGTAAAATAAGTATTGCCGACAATTGGTGTAAAATAAGTAATGTCGACTACTGTTGTAAAATAGGTATTGCCGACTTCTGGTGTAAAATAAATACATGTATTGCCGACAACTAGTGTAAAATAAGTATTGCCGACTACTGTTGTAAAATAAGTATTGTCGACAATTGGTGTAAAATAAGTATTGTCGACTACTGGTGTAAAATAAGTATTGCCGACTACTGGTGTAAAATACGTTTTGCCTACTACTGTTGTAAAATAGGTATTGCCGACTACTGGTGTAAAATAAATACATGTATTGCCGACAACTAGTGTAAAATAAGTATTGCCGACTACTGTTGTAAAATAGATATTGCCGACAATTGGTGTAAAATAAGTATTGTCGACTACTGTTGTAAAATAGGTATTGCCGACTACTGGTGTAAAATAAATACATGTATTGCCGACAACTAGTGTAAAATAAATGGCCGACTACTGGTGTAAAATAAGTATTGTCGACTACTGGTGTAAAATAAGTATTGCCGACTACTGTTGTAAAATAAGTACAATGTATTGTTAACTACTGGTGTAAAATAAGTATTGCAACTACTGTTGTAAAATAAGTATTGCTGACAACTGTTACGATTTACATGTATAAGTATTGCTGACAACTATTGTAAAATTAGTGTTGCTGAAAAATGTTGTAAAATAAGTATTGCCACCTACTGTAACGGTATAAATATTGCAATCATTATTTAGTTCAATCCATGTTTTTTTTTTTCAAGGTTTGTGCTCGGCGTTCACAAGTCTGACGGGTTAGATGACCTCGGACCAGTGGTTGGACGGAACGCTATAATACTACTTCTTGTTTGGTTAATGGTATTCTATTGCTGCGTTAAAGGCATACGATCACTAGCAAAGGTATTTCTAACATTATGAGGGCAGATTAATTGTCCGCTTATAATGATATTGTTAAGATAAATATACTTGCCAAAATTTTGATGAATAAAATAGTGTATGTTACAGGAGCAATAGTCCAGTGGTAGGACGCGCGCTTAGGGATCGAGAGGTCCCGGGTTCGAACCCCACTAGGGGCACTGCTAATTTCCTTGAGCAAGAAATTTACCTGCGATTGCTTCACTTCACCCAGGTGTAAATGGGTACCTGCGAGGGTGGTATAAATCCGTTGCGCCAAAGTGTCGGCTGCACTAAGCGGAGTTAAAAGACTCCCCAGGGAGATTGATAGATAGATACCAGTAGCCCAATGACCAGGGGTAATAGCTGTAAAGTCGGTGAACGTGCGTAAGCATGAAACTTAGACTAAAAAATGCAATTTACTTTTATGTTATAAAAAGACTATGCAGTTCTTTGTTTATAATGTGCACGTTTCTCTAGCTAAAAAGATCAAAATAAACGATAAATATTAACAGTTAATATATATCAATGTATTATATACTTATATAAAATTAATGAAATATTGAGAAACATTTTCTATATTTTTTCTATAAATACAGGATTTATTTTCATCTTGTGATATGGAAATTGTCATATTCGCTCGTGGCTACCACCACTCATGGAATATTTAGTTCACACCACTCGATGAAAATAAATCCTGTATTTATAGACAAAAAAATTTAATTATCCTCCATTTGTCTTTTAAATCTTACAACAGTTATCCAATCAGGAAAAATATACACAAGAAAAGTAAACTGATAATTAAGGATTCAAGTAATGATTTTGCAATATTCATCATCATATTTCTTCTAGTTACTAAAGCGGTAAAGGCATTTTTTGGTATTACACTTGAATTGCAATATCTAAATCATTTTCGCTGTTCACTTCGCAATGTTTTACTTTTAAGTACAATTTAAAAAAAAATGGATTTTTCCTTGATTACCCCCCCCCCCTTCCCCCGGTCTCCTGTCCTCTTCCCCTGTGCCCTTTGACTTTGTGGGCCTATTATTCAATCATTTTTTTCTTTGAATTCCTAATCAGTTACAAATTATTTATCATTTAGTGATTAACCTGTCCGTGCTCTGTCTTGTGCCCTGTCCTGTTTTTGTTTGGGCTCCTTGCCACTGGTTCTTGTTGCTGGGTCATATGGGGGTCGCGTTCATTGAACGCCGCCTTTCCTTGTTGATCTTGTTTATCATATTTTAGCATGAACCTGCAGGCAGGTTGCTTTAAATATTGTTTAAAAGGAAGTAATTCGTTTTCACAGTTCGAGGTCAATGTTATTCTTACGGGAGGTTTCATATTAAACTTATTTTACGCTGCAGTGATCTTGTTTACAAAGTCAATATATTTTCTTACATTACTACTTCTTTGTAAACAATATAGAGCTCCATCCACTATATAGACCTACATTTAGGGTATAGTTACAGCATAGATCTCCATTTATGGTAAAGTTGCAAAATATACCTCCATTTAGTGTATCGTTACGGCATAGACAACAACAAAATCATTATAACGTCTTGTGGTTTGGGAAGATATCCGTATATAGTATTATTATGGTAAACGGTGTAACATAGTAACACAAATCTGAATTTACCAGGAACAGTTTCAGAACACAAGCTTATGATCGTATAATACCATGTTTACTTGTTTATCCCACTTAAACCTTGTGATATGTTACAAAAAAGCCCTGATTGTGTAAGAACTTGAAAGAAATATCAAATCCTGTAGTCTAACTCGCAACGTAGGAGACTGCGAGGATTATAATTGTTATTTGATTATCTTCACAGAGAATGTTTTAACAAGGATTCTCCTGAAAAATTTCAAGTCCAAGTCATAGCTTTCCTATGAATGTGGGGGGTCTGGGCTACAAGGCACTGGTGTATGTGGGGGTGCGAAACAAATCACTGGTGTATGAAGGTGTCTCGGATACAAGTCACTGTTTTATGTGGGGGTCTGGGATACACATCACTGTTGTATGTGGGGAGTCTGGGACACACAAGGTCTGGAATACAAGTCAATGGTGTATTTAGGGGTCTTGTGTACAAATCATTGTTGTATGTGGGAGTCTTCGATACAAGTTACTGGTGTATGTGGGAGTCTTGGATACAAGTTACTGATGTATGTGAGGGTCTGGGATACAAGTTACTGGTGTATGTGAGGGTCTGGGATACAAGTTACTGGTGTATAGGTGAGGGTCTGGGATACAAGTTACTGGTGTATGTGAGGGTCTGGGATACAAGTTACTGGTGTATGTGAGGGTCTGGGATACAAGTTACTGGTGTATGTGAGGGTCTGGGATACAAGTTACTGGTGTATGTGAGGGTCTGGGATACAAGTTACTGGTGTATATGAGGGTCTGGGATACAAGTTACTGGTGTATGTGAGGGTCTGGGATACAAGTTACTGGTGTATGTGAGGGTCTGGGATACAAGTTACTGATGTATGTGGGGGTCTGGGATACAAATCACTGGTGTATGTGGGGGTCTTAGATACAAATCACTGCTGTATGTGGGCGTCTGGGATACACATGACTGTTGTATATTGGGGTCTGCGTTCGTCTCTGGTGTATGTATGTGTCTAGGATACAAGTCACTGGTGTATATTGGGGTCTGGGATACAAGTCACTGGTGTATGTGAGGGTCTGGGATACAAGTTACTGGTGTATGTGGGGGTCTGGGATACAAGTCACTGGTGTATGTGGGGGTCTGGGATACAAGTCACTGGTGTATGTGAGGGTCTGGGATACAAGTTACTGGTGTATGTGAGGGTCTGGGATACAAGTTACTGGTGTATATGAGGGTCTGGGATACAAGTTACTGGTGTATGTGAGGGTCTGGGATACAAGTTACTGGTGTATATGAGGGTCTGGGATACAAGTTACTGATGTATGTGAGGGTCTGGGATACAAGTTACTGGTGTATATGAGGGTCTGGGATACAAGTTACGATGTATGTGAGGGTCTGGGATACAAGTTACTGGTGTATATGAGGGTCTGGGATACACAGTTACCGATGTATGTGAGGGTCTGGGATACAAGTTACTGGTGTATATGAGGGTCTGGGATACAAGTTACTGAGTGTATGTGAGGGTCTGGGATACAAGTTACTGGTGTATGTGAGGGTCTGGGATACAAGTTACTGGTGTATGTGAGGGTCTGGGATACAAGTCACTGGTGTATGTGAGGGTCTGAACTGGGATCTACAAGTTACTGGTGTATGTGGGGGTCTGGGATACAAATCACTGGTGTATGTGGGGGTCTTAGATACAAATCACTGGTGTATGTGGGGGTCTGGGATACAAGTCACTGGTGTATATTGGGGTCTGGGATACAAGTCACTGGTGTATGTGGGGGTCTGGGATACAAATCACTGGTGTATGTTGGGGTCTGGGATACAAATCACTGGTGTATGTGGGGGTCTTGGATACAAGTCACTGGTGTATGTGGGGGTCTGGGATACAAATCACTGGTGTATGTGGGGGTCTGGGATACAAATCACTGCTGTATGTGGGCGTCTGGGATACACATGACTGGTGTATATTGGGGTCTGGGATACAAGTCACTGGTGTATGTGGGTGTCTAGGATACAAGTCACTGGTGTATGTAGGGGTCTGGGATACAAATCACTGGTGTATGTGAGTCCTGGTCTGGGATACAAAGTTACTGGTGTAATGTGGGGGTCTGGGATACAAGTCCGACTGGTGTATGTGAGGGTCTGGGATAACAAGTGTCACTGGTGTATAGGTGGGGGTCTGGGATACAAGTCACTGTAGGTGTATGTGGGGTCTGGGATACAAAGTCACTGGTGTATGTGGGGGTCTGGGATACAAATTACTGGTGTATATGAGGGTCTGGGATACAAGTTACATGGTATAAAAATATGAGGGTCTGGGATACAAGTCACTGGTGTATGTGGGGGGTCTGGTGGGATACAAGTCACTGGTGTATTGTGGGGGTCTGGGATAAACAAATCACTGTTATACTGGGGACCGAGATACAAGTCATGGTGGGGGTCTTGTATACAAGTCACTGTTGTAATACAAGTGACTAGGTATATGGGGTCTGGGATACAAGTCACTGGTGTATGTGGGGGTCTGGGACGGGAAAATTTGGGTTTTGGGGGGGTTTGGGTAATTTTTGGGTTTTTTGGGTTTACGGTGTTTTTGAGGGGGGGGATAAAAGTTACGGGTGAGTAAAGTTTGGAAAATTTGGTGTATGTGAGGGTCGGGGATAAAAAGGGTTACTGGGGTTTGGGGTCTTGTATACTACTTTTAAAAGTTTTGTAAGGGTCGGGGTTTATATGTGGGTCTGGGATACAAGTTACGGGTGTATTGAGGGTCGGGGTACAAGTTCTGGTGTTAGGGAGGGTCTGGGAACAATTAGGGGGAATGTGAGGGTCTGGGAACAATTTACTGGTGTATTGGGGTCTGGGATACAATTTTACTGGTGTATGTGAGGGTCTGGGAAAAAATTACTGGTGTATGTGAGGGTCTGGTAAAAAATTTACTGGTGTATTAGGGTCTGGGAACAAGTTACTGGTGTCATATTGGGGTCTGGGATACAAGTTACTGGATGTATGTGAGGGTCCTGGGATACAAGTCATGTTTGTAAGAGGGTCTGGGATACAAGTTACTGGTGCATGTGGGGTCTGGGATACAAGTTACTGGGTATAGTGAGGGTATGGGATACAAGTTACTGGTGTCATTATTTGGGTCTGGGATACAAGGTCACTGTGTCATTGGGGGTCTGGGATAAAGTCAACTGGTGTATGTGAAGGTCTGGGATACAAGTTCACTGGTGTATGTGAAGGGTCTGGGATACAAAAGTTACTGGTGTAATATGAGGGTCGGGATACAAGTTACTGGTGTATATTGGGGTCTGGGATACAAGTCACTGGTGTAAGATATTGGGGGTCTGGGATAGCAAATCACTGAACGTGTATGTTTTTTTTTGGGGGGGTTATATG